CCAAATCCGGCCATCCGGGCTCACCATCGCAACGTTTGTTTGTTTTGTTTGAGAGTTGAGGTCTCACACTGTGTGTGCCTGTAGTCCCAATACTCAGGGAGTCAAGGAGGATCTCAAAGCAGACTTGAGGTCAGTTAGGGCTACATAGCAAGTTCAGGCCAGCCTGAGCTACACAGCAGTTCCTATTGAAAGCTAAGGCAGGGCCTTGCTTTGTTACCCAGGCTGGCCTTATGTCTTGGACTCAAGTGATCCTGCTGCCTCACCCTGCCAAGTTAGCGTAGACCACAGGCATGCCCCACTTTCCCTGGCCCCATCTCTTGCTTAACGCAGAGACAATTTAATTAATTAGAGACTCTAATGAATCTGCATCAATCCCTCCACCACATAGCACAGCCTCATCAGAGAAGAGCGTGGTGCACTCCCGGTTACATCTGCATTCCAGAGGACTGACTCACGAGCCTGTGGACCTCCAGGGACAGGAATCTTGGGGGACAGTTTCCAGTTCTACCTGCTGCAATCTAACTAACCTTCCCTTACTCGGGTGGCTCTGGGGATCTTAGGAGTCCAGGTCCCAGTGCTTCTAGTCTGGGAAAGTGGGCAAGGGGGTCGGCTGCAGCAGTGATCTGACCCAGAAAGCTCACCGCTTAGTGCTCAGCCGCCAGGTCTCCAGACATGCTCCCAGACATGCTCCAGGAGCCCTGACCTTTCTGATGCCTAGGTTGAACCAAGGAACTCAGGGGCTACAAAGGCTGAGAGCTCTGCCTGTACAGTGACAAAGCTCTTGGGAGTGGACGGAGGTCAGGTGCAGCTTCCTTGTGCTGGCTGTGTCATGGTATCACACCCATGGTGACAGGTCACTGTTACAGATGGAGTAACCAGAACCTCTGTTTCTTCAGGGTGGCTTTGAGGAAAGAAAGCTTTGCTGCTGTAAGCCAGAGGCGAGAGACACTTGCGCTGGTGTCTCCCTCCCTCATGCCAGACTCCTGTGGGACAAGGACGCACTCCTCACCTCACCAACAGTCACGCTGCCCTCCTCTCGTGGGCTCAGTCCTCCATCCACGTTAGAGGTTTTCCAAATACTTGCAGGGTGCTTGGCAGATGTTACAACCTGCTCTGAGCATGGAAGGTGGGCTCCTCTTCATACCTGAAGCTGAAGAGCAGTCCTGAAGTGCCTAATGTGTCAGGGGACACTGGGGAAGGCTCTGAAGGGAGGATTCCAGGCTGGCCCTCATTCGAGCTGTGGATGAAGACAAACTGCAAGCTCTTTCCAGTTGGAGGGCACCTCCAGCCGCCACAGCAAAGTCTCCATCTGGACTTCCAGGCCTGGGAACAAAGAGAGTCATCAGGAAGGGAAGCAGGTTCTGAGGGGATGGCTGTGGGCAGAGGAGTCAGAAGGAAAGTACCTCGTTGAGACAATGATAGACCAAAGCCAGGAGAGCAAGGAGGGCCAGGACTCCAGCAGCAACTGGGACCTCTCGGGGCATTTGTAGCTCCCAACTGATGTTATAACTTTCCTGAGAAAAGAGGAGACAGAATCAGAGGTCTGGGGAAGCAGGAAGGGAGGCTGAATAGGATGCAGTTCTCACCTTTCTGCTCCAAACCAACGGACTCTGAAACCAAGTCATGGGTGGTTCCTCACCAACCACTGTTGGGCCTCCGGGCTCTCAATCTTGTTCTCAGAGGTTCCTCCACACCCCCAATGCCCCCTCAAGTCAGTTACTGTAGCACCAAGCACCGCCAGGCTAGCCTGATTGCAAATGACCAAACAGGGCCCTTCTGTTTAGCCATCTCATCCTTCGAAAGTGAAACCTTTCCTTCCCAGGCCTCCTGTGAGGGAGGGGCACTGAAGAACCAGCACAACCCATAGCCCCAGCTCAGTAGCCGCCCTTCCTGAGGTCCCTCCAGAAGAATTTCATGGGCGGAGCAGATAAACTGACTCCACCTCTCAATACTGCCAACCTAGTCCACAAAGATAATTTCCAATAAATCACGAGCTGTCTCAAGAAACAGAGTTCTCCAGCGCCCCCTGGAGGCTGGTGGCAGGTGTAACCAGAGAGCCAACCCGCTGTAGGCCTGGGCACTCCATTTCTCCAGCTGTGGCCATTTGGTGACCTCCCAGTAGGGAAACTGAGGCCAAGAAAGCTCAAGTAATTTGTCAAATCTCACAGTAGGTGGACAAAGTCAAGTGGGTGTTCCACCTCTGAGTGCCTTTCCCTCCTGCACAGGCTGTGACATAGCACTTAGGACAAGCCAGCAGCAGCAGCTCATGGAGGTGGGTGTGGTCTAGAGTGTGGATCCTCTGAGTTGATCGCACATCCACCCAACACAGAGGCACAGGCTGTGCGCTGCCTTCTCACACTGGCCAGGTGGTGATGCAGACAGAGGAGCTAGGTCCAGAAAACTGGCAGGGGGTCATGGCAGGCTCCTGAGGTCCCAAACAGCAAACATCACCCACCAAGTGAAGGCAGATGCAGGAGAGGTGCGATGCCAAGAAAGGAAGGTGCCCTGAGAACGACGAGAGCAGCCTCTGGGGTGTGCACACAGAAAGACAGCTCAGAGGGCTGCCTTTACTGGCAGGATCACTGCTGAGAGACCAGGATACTACACTGGGAGCTCTGGAGTTCCTTTTGCTCTGAGTCTCCACTAGGGTCCATCCTCACTCTGATAGATCCCCCCCCCAAGAACAAATGAAATGGGCTCAAATGCACCCTGCACCCCGGGACACATCCTGGGATAACGCCACCCATTGTCTCCACCATTTCTCCTTTTCCACACTGGACCAGACAAACCTGAATGCCCAAGTGTCCCTTTTCTTTTCCTCCTCCTCCTCCTTCTCCTCCACTTCCTCCTCTTCCTCCTCCTCCTTTTTAGTATACAGTGTTCTGCCTGCATGTACGCCTGAACGCCAGAAGAGGGCACCAGATCTCATTACATATGGCTGTGAGCCACCATGCTGTTTCTGGGAATTGAACTCAGGACCTCTGGAAGAGCAGCAGCCTGTGCTCTTAACCGCTGAGCCATCTCTCCAGCCCCCATGTCCAAATTTTCTGTTCTTTTTTCCTCTATTGTCCCCACAGGACAGGTTTGTATACGCAAATTTATTCATGGAAGTAACAGGCCAAGATACACTCTATGTCCACAGGGTCAGGGTCTTAGACACTTTGACCCTGGGCTAACTCCTGCCTTACTTTGGTTTGACCAGCTGTGAAAAAGTGCTCCTGGGGAGACGGCTGTGAGATAGCAGCTCTCCCTGGAGGTGTGGGGAGGCAATGGGACTTCTAGTCAAGAGAAAAGAACGGGTGGCTGGGCATGGTGGCATACACTTTTAATCCCAGCACTCGGAAGGCAGAGGCAGGGGGAATCTATGAGCTCCAGCCCAACCTGCTCTATTATGACAAGTTCCGATCCAGTCAGGGCTACAGGTGAGACCCTGTCTAAAAGGACACTGAGAAAGATACCTGGTGTCCCTCTATAGTCCTGTAAACTCGGGGAACTCCAAGGATGTGTGATAGGGACAATGGTGTCAATGCCTGGCACCTAGATCATACTCGGCTTGAAACAGGGCTCCAACACTGAACAGCTAGTGAGCCCACAGTTACCAAGGGCCTCTGAGCCCCAGTCCGCGGATCTGCAGAATGGGGCGGTACAAATCCTCCCCTAGGGCCTTGGGAATGCGACAGGCTGCTGCCTGCACAGTGCAGAATGTGGAATGCTGGGGAAGTGTGTGCTGAGGGGTGCAGGGCGCGAGGCCTTTCTATTCAGAGGTTCCACAAGCCACCCCAGATCGGAATTTGTGGCAGGGACACTTTCCACTCACTCCTATCTCAGTGTCCCCAGCCAGTAACCGAGCACTACCTCCCTCTCTTGCCCCTTTGCTGGGAACAGGACTGGGCTGGTCTTCCCCAAACTGTTTAGGGTTGTTTTAGGGCAACCCATGGTTCTGTCACGGAGGAGCCGTTCCTCAGCTAACTCTGCTATCATTCATTCCTGTTCGGTCACTTCTTCCTCCACAGGATGTACCCTCACAGAAAATGTGAGGGGTCCAGACTACAGAGCCCCCAGCCTTTTCTGGTCCTCAGGTGGAAAGGGAAGGAAACCCCAAGACAGACAGATAGACTTCCTTGATAGGCATCTGGAGGGCTCTGGTAGGATCAGTGCAATAGGGAGATTCCCACCCCAGAGCTCAGCTTGACCACTGAGTGAGTTGCCAAAGGAGGCACCCCTCACCAGCCTACAACCTCAGCAAGCCCCTCTCCTTGGAATACCCCATCCCTACCCTACTCCCCCCACTCCCTGGCGAGTTGTGGTCCCCAAGAACCTTTGCCTGAAGCGCCAACTGCACAACTGCAAGATTCCCACAGCTAATTATTGATCTCTGCCACGAACGCTTCGACCTCTCAGAATCCTCCCTAGGAATCTTGCTTCTCCATCTGCTTCAGGACGACGGGTGTTAGGCGGAGGGGGTGGGGAGGCGGGAAGCCCAGGATTGTCAGAGCTGGGCCAGGTCAGCCTGGGCCCAAGGGACTAGACATACTAGTGAAGGGTGGGCAGGCAGGCCTGATGGGCAAGGGGTTTGAACAGGGTAGGGCTGCATAGAGTACCCCCCATCTCCCTCCCTGGGTCCCCGCCCCCGCCCTCCCACGCACCTGCGCTGGCCTCCCCCCAAGCCCCGGGGCAGCACTGGGAGATCAGAGGACTCGGAGGAGTTGGGCTCAGGGGGATGGGACGGGGAATTTCCCCCCACGCCTGCCTGGGCCTGCTCCCCTCCCCCTCCCCTGCCAGGTGGGGGGCACCGCTGGGGGAATTCCACCGCAGGCAAGGCTCCGGAGAGCCTGGGCTGGGGTCCTAGGGAGTGGAAGAAATGGAAGCGGGAGAGGGGGCGGGCTGGAACCTGGGGCACAGCTGCCTTCCTCCCCAGACACCAGCTGCCCCTGCCTGTCGCGGGTAGCGTCCACGATTCCTGTCTGTCTCCCGCGATCAGGGACAGGGAGTGGCGCTTCTTTATTCAAGCCAGCCGCGGCGGGACCTGGGGAGAGACGAGCGTGAGGATTCGGAGAAGATGTGCGTGTGAGCGTCTTACAATGAATGAGTGGATTGAATGGGACTGCATGCGCGCGTGCACTTGAATTAGAGTGCCTGTGTCCACTTGGCTTGGTGCAGCCGCGGGAGGGAGGCTTGTAAACTCTCTTTTTAGGATTCTCTAGAGGTCTGCTAAGCTGGCTGTCCTGTCCCTCTCCGTGCCCTCCCAATAGAACCCACACCAATCCTGGAAGAAAGGGAGAAAGGGATAGGGAGGCATGAGTTGGGACGCTGGGGGTCCCGGGGGACAGGCGTGGGAGGCGTCTGGACCTGCTGTCTGCGCTCCAATCGCGGGCGGGGTTTCTAGTCTTCCCCGGGGGAGGGGAAGACAAGAGGGGAGGGACCTGTAGGGACAGACACAAGCGGGGCAGGAGACAGTGCTTTAGAGTCCTGGGAGAGGGAGACCCAGGGTGCTAGACACAGTTCGATGGGGTGGGTGTGGGGACCCAGGCACAACCCAGAACTAGAAACCCGAGCCTGAGCTCATCCTCTGGCCAGATACCTCCCCCAGAGACCCTTGAGGAGCGACAACTGGGCCGAGATCCCGGGAAGATATTTACTGGTCCCGGATCTGCAGTGGCGACCAAAGTAAGACCAGGACAGACGAACAGAGGACAACGCTCCCCTCAGGTCACCTAGACCCTAGAGCAACCCCTGGGGCGTCCCAGGCCGTGCTTTGGCCCAGGCAACATCTCTCTGGTTAGGGAAGATGGGGACACTGGCTCTGCAGTGCCTCCTTTTCTTTTTCCCGATGCTGCTGCCGCCGCCGCACGGGGCCTCAGCAGGGAGCCTTCATAGTCCAGGTGAGTTAGACCCAGCGGCCAGGACAAAGTCAATGCTGGGCTTCTGGACTTCTGCGCCCAGGATAGGGGCCCCAAAACTGGGGAGGCGGGAAGCAGGTGGACGGAGCAGCTGAGCAGCCCGAAGGCTCCCTCGTGGATGGGAACTGACTGGGACCCGGCAAGAGTTGGGGGTCGAGAAGTGAGGAGGCCCAGTGAGCGTCCAGACTTCTCCAAAATCCCACGGTTGCCGGGCAGGCCTGTCCGAATGCTTCCAGGTGAACGGCGCTGATTACCGGGGCCACCAGAACTACACGGGCCCGCGCGGAGCCGGACGCCCTTGTCTTTTCTGGGACCAGACGCAGCAGCACAGTTACAGCAGCGCCAGCGATCCTCAGGGCCGCTGGGGGTTGGGTGCGCACAACTTCTGTAGGTGAGCAGCGGGGCGGAGCTGTCAGCGAGGCTGGACCAGTGGTGGCAGGAAGCGGGGCAGAGGGGTGGTCTGCTCTGGCCTGGTACAGGACCCTCAGGAAGATTTAGGGGCCGGGCCCATACTAGGTTCTCATACTAGGTTCAGCAGGTTCGCCAAAGCTTGAAACTATAGGTGATAGTTTTCTACAAAGCCTCCAACCAGGGCCAGGACAAAAGGTTTACACCCTCAAGGGGCCCCTGGACGTGGTTGAACTTGAACCCTGGGATGATTGGAATGGTTCTTGTAGTACTTACTTAAGCAGCTTCTACAACCCGACATAAGAGGGATCAAAGTCACAGCTTTCTTCTGGAGCATCAGTCAGGGGCTGAAAGGGGACCACTTGCTGCCCAGTCACAAAGTTGAGGGGTACTTGACATTTTATGCAAGGGAGTGGTGAGGACCCATTGAAAAGTCAGGAAGTTCTCCCATGAGGCCAAGCGAAAACAACTCTCTCTCCAGGCTCTTCCCTGTCCCTTGGAGGTCAAAGTCTAGGAGCAGATGGAGAAAACTGGAATGTGTCCTGAGAGAGAGAGAGAGAGAGAGAGAGAGAGAGAGAGAGAGAGAGAGATTGGCCTCTAAAAAGTGGTGGCTACAGGGCAGGGTAGTAGGCGCCTTACTACCTCCCTCTGACCACAGGAACCCAGACGGTGATGTGCAGCCGTGGTGCTACGTGCCAGAGACGGAGGAGGGCATCTACTGGCGCTATTGTGATATCCCCACGTGTCACAGTGAGTAAGCGCAAGAGCCTGGGGGGGGGGGTCGCTTTCAGAGGTGGGATTCTGACTCTGTTTCCTCCACAGTGCCTGGGTACCTAGGTTGCTTCGTGGACTCTGGGGCACCCCCCGCTCTCAGTGGTCCCAGTGGCACCTCCACAAAGCTCACAGTCCAGGTGTGCCTTCGATTCTGCCGCATGAAGGGCTACCAGGTACTGTCCTTGGTCTCAGACCAGTGACCCTTTATCTTTACCTCAGGGCCCTACCCAGCTCCCAACACTGATGCCAGAACTTGACACTAACTTCTGAACCTCACCAATCCCTACTTCCCACCCCACTACTCCACCCATATCCACCATCCCTGCCTTTGGGGTCACCCAGTCTGTGCTCTCAGCTGGCTGGAGTGGAGGCTGGTTATGCCTGCTTCTGTGGCTCTGAAAGCGACCTGGCCCGGGGACGGCCAGCCCCTGCCACCGACTGTGACCAGATCTGTTTCGGCCACCCAGGCCAGCTGTGTGGAGGCGATGGGCGACTGGGCATCTATGAAGGTGAGATGTGGATCAGAACGAGGAGCATAGTCTCAGTGGGATCTGATGTGCCATTCCCTAGTAGGAGTGTAATCAGGGAAGCCTGATGCTAGGGTGAGATAAGATCGGGAGACTAGGGTTGAAGGCAGGATCTGTAATGAGCATGAGGTGGAACCTGATTGTGAAGCCGGCACTTGATAAGGGATTGGTTGGAAGGTGGGGCCTATTTATAGAAACTGGTCGGTGCCAGATGCCAGTACTGGGGCAGGGACGAGGCCTACTTGGAAAGGGAGATCTCTGCGCTGGAAAGAAAGAGCCCGGATGGCCTCAGGTTCTTGACCACCTCTCCCTCCCACAGTGTCTGTGGGCTCATGCCAGGGAAACTGGACGGCGCCTCAGGGTGTCATCTATTCCCCGGACTTTCCGGATGAGTATGGGCCAGATCGGAACTGCAGCTGGGTACTGGGCCAAATAGGCGCTGTGCTAGAGCTCACCTTCCGCCTCTTCGAGTTGGCCGATTCGCGAGACCGGCTGGAGCTACGCGATGCCTCGTCGGGCAACCTGCTCCGCGCCTTCGACGGCGTCCACCCTCCGCCGTCTGGTCCTCTGCGCCTGCGCACTGCTGCACTACTACTCACCTTCCGCAGCGACGCACGAGGCCATGCTCAAGGCTTCGCTCTCACCTACCGTGGTGAGCAGGGGCCAGCCCTCCTGCCTATCCCCCGACCCCCGCCAACACAACCCTACTTCTGGCCACTTCGCCTCATACCTCTCCCCGCAGGGCTGCAGGACACAGGGGAGGACAGCGCATCTCTTAAGGTTTCGGCCGAGACTCCTGCAGGAGACCGGGATGGTGGCAACGTGAGCTGCAGCCCTAAGCCCGGAGCTGCACAGGCTTCCATAGGGGGTAAGGCTGGCTTGCAAGGTGGGAGCTAGTCAGGGAGTGGTCCCTCGGAGGCCTGTCCTTATCACACCCTTGTGCCCGCAGCCCGAGTCTTCTCCACCGTGACGGCCATCTCCGTGCTGCTGCTATTGCTCCTATCGCTGCTGCGTTTGCTGCGTCGACGGTGCGGGCGCTGGGGCAGGGTCTGAGGGCAGACCCCGCACTGGGTGCCTGATGCCTCGTGCTCGGGGTGTGGGGGCTCTAGTGGGGAACCTGTACGGGGAAACAAAGCTAGGAAGGTCCTGGGTTCTTGAGGGGGCGTGGCCTTGGGAGAGTTACACGTGGGTTCGCAGGCAGAGCAGGATGTTGGAGGCAAGACCGGGTATGGGTCCAGCTGATGTCTGCTCCCTCTCTAGGAGCTGTCTGCTGGCTCCAGGAAAAGGGTCTCTGGCCTTGGGACCTTCCCGGGGTCCCGGGAGAAGCTGGGCTGTGTGGTACCGCCGGCCCCGAGGGGTGGCCCTGCCCTGTCCCCCAGGGGACTCTCAGGCTGAGGGTCCTGCCGCAACCTACCGGCCCCTCAGTGCCTCCAGCCAGAGCTCCTTGCGCTCCCTCGTCTCTGCTCTCTGACACCAGACGTCCGGGGTCCATCACAACTTCTGCCAGCAAGATGGACACCTGAGATATTATGCAGCACCCTACCTCTTCCTTGTGCCCTGTAAAGGCCGCTCGGTCTCTGGTCATCTCGGGGAGACCCGAAAATCGGACAGGAAGCATCCAGTGCTATTTGAGAACTTGGTCTGACCCTTGGGGTCCAAATGGTTGAAGCAAGCCAAAGGGCAAAAGGAACCCAACACCCTCATCCTTGGACGTTGATGTGAAAGGTGGTGTCGGGCTTCAGGGTTCTTTACGTCTCTTTTGGGGGCGGTCCCAGACTGCTGCCCTCAATGAAAGGTTAGGGAGTCAACAAAAGTGATCTAAAGACTGATCAGAGAACCATAGTTTTAAAATAAAGGGCCTATTTTGGTAGAGTCTTCAGCAAGTTCTTTGTGTGAGGGAGGAGTTATGTTAATAAGGGTGTCAGGTAGGAGGTGAGATGCTGGGCGTTTCAACTGTGAGCTTTCTTGTGAGAGAGGAAGTGGAAGCGGGTTGTGGGTAGTTTTATGCGGAAGAAGTTCCTTTCTGGTACTCGCAAGAGTAGAGAGCCAACCCTTCTTCCCTGGCCTCCTGCCTTAACCGGTTCCTTGTCTGTATTGGACCCAGCCGAGGGTGTGCCTTGTGGGCGATAATAGGGAGAGAGCTGGGTGGAACCCAAGCTCTAAGAAGCCTGGCCGGAAGGGCTGGGCCTCTCCAAGGGCTTCAGGTGCGTCACACATCTTAGACGCTTGGGTACCTGGCCAATAGGGGCATACCTTAAAAGTGAGTACGCGCCAGCGTTGCTGGACTCCTCTGAAAGGGGCCTTAGCCAGCAGCACCTTGGACAGAGTCTGACTATGGGCTTAGGCCCTGGGTAGCCAGGCTGTGTACTCGAGGTGGATATCCAAAGGTGCGGCAACCTGGAGATCACTAAGAAAGCTGGGGTGTGAAATGTTGGTAGACGTCAGGTGCCAGGCCACTCCAGTAGAGGAGCCCAACCCAGAACATCGCGTCCCAAGCCAGGCACCCCATGCAAAGAAGGCTGGAACCACACATGTTAAAAAGAGAAGGCCGGGGCGGTCTCGGGGCGGTCTCGGGGCGGTCTCGGGGCGGAGCATCCCCGCCCGCAGCGCCCATTGGTCCTTACAACGTGAACGTCAGGAATCCAGCGCGCGAAACATGGGCAGGGTGGCGGGGGCGAGGAGCCGGGGTGGAGCCTGGCGTCCCTTCCAGCGTCCGGCCGCGCCCGTCCTCAGGGCTGCGGCTAGAAGCCGGGCTGCCGTTGCGGCCAACGGGATCTCTCCCTGCGGTGCTCTGCCACGGTGGAACTGGACGCGCTGAGCTTTAGTAGCCGGGTCGCCAGCTTCCTTTCTCTTGCGGGGGCGTCGAGCTCACGCGTGCGCAGCGCGCGAGGGAAGAGGGCCGGGACCCCCGGCTTACCCTACGCTGGGCGACCGGACAGTCCGGAGGTGAATTGGGATGAGCTTCCCAGCTCTGCGATTCCACTGAGGGAGAAGCCTGGGAGCAGAGGGTCGCTGGCCCGCCGCAGTGCGTGAGGCCATGGCGTTCCTGTCCGGGCCTCGCCTGCTGGACTGGGCTAGCTCGCCACCGCACCTGCAGTTCAATAAGTTCGTACTGACTGGCTACCGGCCGGCCAGCAGCGGCTCGGGCTGCCTGCGCAGCCTCTTCTACCTGCACAATGAGCTGGGCAACATCTACACACACGGTAGGTGAGCGGCTATCTCATGCTTTATGCTTCCCGCACTCGCGGCCGCCTTGTCTGCGAACGCAGCAGCCCCCCGAGTCCAAATCCTAGGCTGCCCCTTCCCTGGTTGGGCCGGGCGCCGCGGTGACAAAGCTGCCATTGTCCCAAGCTTCGTTGCCAGCTTCTGCTTTTCCAACAGTGCCCCAGGGCAGGAGAGGGGAGCAGAGTGGGAGCCAGCTTAATCCCGCTGAGCTCTAGGGGTAAGGATCCTAATATCTCCTTGGTAATCCTGTGCCCTGGGCACCCTCCCCCTCTAGCGCTCATCCTGAAGATGGGCGTTCACTGGCTAGGAGGAGTTAGAAAGAAGAAGACCGCCCCTGCCCGGCCCAAGCCCCTCCTCGTGGGGGCCTAATGTCCCTGACACCCTAGCAGTACCGTGGGGCTCCTCATGGTGGCCCGTCCGCCCCCTCCCCCACCCCTCCGTGGCCCCTAGAGCTCTGCTGACACAGCCCTGGTCTGTCCTTGAGCCGCCCCAGCTGGGAGAGGGGACTAGAGCCAGCTAGGTTTAGCTTTGTGCTTTTCTCTAAAGGAGAGGGAGCACGTTATTGTTTTTGTCGCACCCCCACCAAGAGTGAGGCTGATGCCTGCATTTGTCCTCTGTTAGGGCAATGCCAACTGCCCATGGGGAAGGGTGGGAATCTCCAAGAAAGGCCAGCACCAGAAGGAACAGAGCTCCTAAAAACACCCCAATAGAGATAGGATAAGCTTATTCCCGGTCCCTTCCTTTCGTTCTGGCCTTTCTTGGCCTTCCTTCTTTATGTAAAACAAAAAGACCCAAAGCCTCCATCTGCCTGGACATTTGACAATGTTAAGTAACCCTGAGTCTGGTTTGTCCCTCCTGTCCTAATCAGAACTCAGGCTGAGTGAGGTCATGCTCTTCCGGGCTTCTGCAGACACTTTGGGACAGATCGGCAGACCTGGTCTGGCCTCCTGTGTGGCTTCAGCATCAGTCAAGACAGCTCAGGAGTTAGCCTACCCTGGTTCATCGTCCTCTATCCTTTTCCTGGTTGCCATGCTCAGCTGGGACAAGGCCACTCAGAACCGGTTTCCACACCTGCAAAGTAGGGTTCATTGTCTCTACTTCTAGACCTGCAGTGAGCCCTGACAGCAACACTTCTGAAAGTTTGGAGCCCACAGACCTACAGTGTTGAACTCTGTCTGTTTTCTCTGTCTTCCTTGTATTTTTGATAGGTTACTTTAAATTTTTTATATTTATATATTAACTTAGTATATGTGTGGGTAGGTGGGTGGACATCTGCCCAGGCATGTGGAGGCTAGAAGATAACCTGTGAGAACTGATTCTCTTCTACCATGTGGAGTCCAGGATCAAACTAAGATTGTCAGGCTTAGCAGCCTTTTCTATGAGCTATCTTCCTGGCCCCAGTTGATACCTTCTAGGTGTGCTTTTCCTTTATGCTGAGTGTGTCTGGTGGGTAACTCTTCTTTCCTTCTAGGGCTAGCCCTGCTGGGCTTCCTGGTGCTTGTGCCAATGACCATGCCCTGGAGTCAGTTGGGCAAGGATGGATGGCTGGGAGGTACACATTGTGTGGCCTGTCTGGTCCCCCCTGCAGCCTCTGTGCTGTATCACCTCTTCATGTGCCACCAAGGAGGCAGTCCTGTGTACACCCGGCTCCTTGCCCTGGATATGTGTGGAGTCTGCCTTGTCAACACTCTTGGTGAGCCAGGGCCCCAGGAAGGTGGAGGCAAGGGCTACTGGTGGAATCCCTGGGTAGGGAAGATCAGCTAGCTTGGACTGATATCCTTTCTCTGCTCTCTCTGCAGGGGCCCTGCCCATCATCCACTGCACTCTGGCTTGCAGACCCTGGCTTCGTCCAGCCGCCCTAATGGCTTACACTGCACTGTCAGGTGTGGCTGGCTGGAGAGCCCTCACTGCCCCCTCCACCAGTGCTCGGCTTCGAGCCTTTGGTTGGCAAGCCGGGGCCCGCCTACTGGTGTTTGGGGCCCGTGGTGTAGGACTGGGCTCAGGGGCTCCAGGCTCCCTGCCCTGCTACCTGCGCATGGATGCATTGGCATTACTTGGAGGGCTGGTGAATGTGGCACGTCTGCCAGAGCGTTGGGGGCCCGGTCGCTTTGACTACTGGGGCAACTCCCACCAGATCATGCACCTGCTCAGCGTGGGTTCCATTCTCCAGCTCCATGCTGGTGTTGTACCTGACCTGCTCTGGGCTGCCCACCATGCCTGTCCCCCAGACTGAGCTGTCTCTTAGCTGCCAAACCAGCCTGCTCACAGCTTCCTGAGACAAATAATCCCACCTTCCCTCCTTTGCTGGTCTGCAAAGGGCTGGTTCCCTGGAAGAAGCAGCACATGGGACTTCCTGTCTGGGAGACCACTCTTCATTCCTCCCTGTGGATTAATCTCTCCCTGCTAACTTTCCTCCAGGGCACTATTTTACTGTCAGCTAGAAGGAAATTGTTCTTTGAGCTTCAGTTTACCCTGTGTGAGAGTCTCTGAATTCACGTCCGACAGTCGAGTCTGGCCACTTTTCCACGCCTCCAGCCCGGAACCACTGCTCATATCTTGCCACTCCCACAAGATACTTCCTAGATTCTTGAACTAGCCTCTCTGCTCCTGCTTCCTGACCTCCATCTTTCTGCCCTGCATGCCAAACCTCTCAGCAGCCAGAATTTTACCGTTCCTGTCATTCCTGAAGTCAGGATGCAGGGCAGTGGGACCAGGCCCTTCTCTCAGGACCAAGTGGGCATTGGTCCTGCTTGTATCGTCTGACCAAGAGCCATGAGAGGAGTGGCTGCTTTCCCTAGGCAACAGGCACAGATGTGGAATGGTGACTTTGGATACAGGCCTCACTGGCCCAAGGACTCACCGTCAGTGCCATGGTCTGACTGATTGACCTGCCCACCAGAGACATGTCTGCTCAGGAAATCTCTATACAGTGCGTGGCTCCAGCCTGCTGGCCAAAGGCCACTCTATAGCAGAGTGTCGCCTCATAGCCAGATCATCCCAGAGGCCTAAGACCCTAGGCAATATCAATAAAGGGACAAGAAGTGCTATTGTAGCCACATGAGCAACCTTGGGTGTTCCCAAGATTCATCACTTTTTATTAATACAGAAGTTTTCGGAGGAGAGGTAGGAAAGAGGGTCAGAGATTTAAAAGCACCAAGGCTGGGCCTGTGACTCAGGCTGGGTCTAGTGAGTCCTCAAACAGGCTGAGGAGGTTCCGTGGCTCAAAGGTGGGGCAGGGACCTCTAGGAGGCTCTGAGTCCATGTCAGTTAGGTCTAGGGCATCCCTTTGGGGAGGAAAGAAAAAGAAATAAGACGTTAGGTCCCAAAGTCAACTGTCCCCAGCCCTAGGCCCCAGGCTTGCTCACCACCTCACCTTGGTTTGTACCTGCCTCGAGGGGTAGAGGTTCTTCTAGTGATCCGGGACAGGATGGTCTCTGGGGACAGTGAGGGACTACAAGAAAGGACAGGTCAGCAGGGTGTTAGAGTTGAGGAAGGTAGTACCAAGCCAGTTCTGATCCTACGTGGTTCCAGGCCCCTGCTTGGTGAAGCTAGAAGGCCATAATTGAAACAATAAACACATTGACAGCTGTCAAGTCTTCCTCTCTGACCATGTTCAGGGGTCATTTCTGTTCCTTTTCAGGTTCAACTGAGCTGGATGTCAAGTTTTGGTAAATGAAGCTTTTCTACCATTTTGCTATGTTACAAAGAAGAAGGGAGGGATCCTGAGAGTGTAAGCTGCTTTTTTGTAGCAGTTTCTTAATTACACCCTTCCCCTTGACTAGCAGACACCTGGGACAAAGGGATCCTCTCAGGACAGAGACTTACCAGGTTCTGGGAGGTATCCACCCGGGGGGTCGGGGGGACAGCTCTTTGTTCCTGAACAGGGGGAGCCTCTACAGAGGTCAGGACTGCAATCCTGTGCTAATAACTGGTATAAAGCTGTGCTGAATGTCACAGTTGCCCACACAAGCCATGAGCCACATCCACACAGCCAGTCTTTGTCCTCTGGGTGTGACAGAGGCCCATCCATCCTTCTTTTCACAGGGCCTGGGACGCCTTCCATGTAGCATTGACCACAGAGATGTACATAACACACCATCCACCCCCATTCCCTAGACTCTCACCCACCCTATGCTGTCATCCCAGCTGGAAAGGCTGCTGTCCAGGAGTGGGCTGCAAGGTGGAGAGCCAGGCGGTGTTGCCGGTGGGCCTGGAGGCTGCAGCCAACTGGCAGGATGAGCCAGACCATGCCAGAACCAGCATAGCAGAGTGATCAGTGCCTAAGGGGAAAGGGAGCCTCAGAAATCAAGCCTTGTGACAGCACTTGGAGGCTGAGGTAGGAAGATAATGAGTTCAAGGACATCCTCGTCTATACAGAAAGTTAAAAGGGAGACTAGGTAGGTCCCCTGGGCAAGGAACAGTTGGAGTATACCAGCAAGCACCATAGAGGCTTACCTGTAACAGGGCCCAACCTCGACTTAGGGCTTCTGCAGCCATATACCACAGAACATTCCAAGAACGTGGCTGCTTCAGCATGGGCAGGGCCAGCAGGGCCTCAGCTGTGGCTCGCAGATGGGGGTTAGGCTCCAACATCATGGTGAGGACAGAACGAAGCTCAGAAGACAGACCTGTTCATGAGGCAGAGCCATGCGTGTCAGGAGTCAGGGTACTGACCTCAGCCCAGTGGGGTCCCTACTACTAGCCACCCCTTGCCAGAGAAGCTGATAGTAGTTGGCACATTTCCTGAGCCCCCACTCACCAGCAGTGAACTCAGGGGGCAAGTATCCCTGACGCAGCTGCTGCCAGCCCTCCCCACTATGGGGTAGTTCCATGTTGCAGGCCACTTCCAAGATTGTGAGACCCAGACTAGGAAGGTCAGGACATGAAGAAAAAGACAGGCAAAGTCAGCTTTGTGAGAGACCTCAGTCCTATGCAGCACCTTGGTAAGAAAAGGCTGCTCTTTTCTCCCATAAACCACGAACTTAGTGTAAAAGGGGTGAGGAGCTTTGAGGAGGCCTCTAGAGGGTCAGTGAGCAGCAGTCAAGATGGAGACCTTGCTGTGAGGCAGAGACCACCCACTTAAGCAGTTAGCATGTTGCAGTGGAGGTCCATCAGAACCCCACTGGTATGTAAATTAGTTTCTATGATTATTAGGGTTATACCATCGTTCTGTAGAAATAACCAGACTACAACTGAGGCAGGGTAGTAGTAGCCAGTGTGGACTCAGAACCCTGGGCCTGGGTATAGTTTTAGATGCTAACTGTGGACTTGACAAGGCCCTCAATCTCACTGCACCCTACTCTTCCAATGCTGCAGCATCCCCACAGAGCTGCTAGCCAAGGAGACGGCTAGCCTACAGTGTAAAGGCCCCTAGAGGGTTTGTTGCTTACTCTGGTGACCCTCAGCTAGTGGGCAGGGGCAACACCTCCTAGGCCTGAATGCCTTCCTATCCTAGTACCGTGAAAGAGCTCCTCTGTTGGCAGTCCCCCTTTCTGCTGATCAGTCCCCAATAAGGGCCTCATACAGTCTTTCATGACGTCTCCACATCCCGGCCTTACCTGAACACATCTGCGGCTGTCCCATAGGAGCCCTGCAGCAGTTCTGGGGCCATGTAACGAGGGTCTCCCTCCTGGGCCTCACCAGCGCCAGTTGAACCCAGATCCACCAGAAGTCCAAAGTCACCCAGCTTGCAGCGGCCCCGGGGCCCCAAGAAGATGTTGGCAGGCTTGACATCAAGGTGAACTAGACCTTGACTATGTAGATGATCCAGAGCCAGAAGAGTGTCCCGCAAGTAGCCCCAAACCTGGGCTTCTGGCAGGCTGGCCCCCCAGGCTTCACAGTGTTGCTGCAGACTTGGCCCACAGAGCTCCGTCTGTAGGTATAAGATGCCGCCCTCCTCCCAGGCCTGTTCCAGTCTCACACAGTGTGGGTGCTGCCCCACCTTCTCATGGCCTCCTACCTCAGCCAGCTTGCGAGTTCGGTCTTTGGGGCCTCGGAATGGAGACAAGGAGCGTTTAACAGCATAGAGTCGGCCATCTTCCTTGGAGCGCACCTGGAAGGGAGGTATTGCCCAGAGGTAGGATGGGGGAAGTCAGAGAATGCTGTGAAGACTTCACTATGTGTATTCCCGGGGGGAATACACATCAGTCTTGGACCTCCGCATGCAATGATAAGGAACTAGATATATGTTCACTGCAGTAGAATGGACTGGAGACGCAACAACAGAGGAGATGGGGCAAACTATGCCGTCTGGTCAGGGTCCAGTACTAAGAGAAAAATGTAGTCCCAAAACAACAGGTCAGTATGCTCTGTTGTGCCCAAGCTTTCCTCTGGTGAGGATAGGTGATCCAAGGGCCTGTGCTACTTGTACTTTAAATTAAGATTGCCTTCAAATAGTGTTTCTGTAAAGGAAAGCTACTGTTTTAGAAGACAAATAATTGGAAAATTAATACCATATTCAAGAAAACAAAATTATAATGGGAAAGGGTACAGTTTTTGAGCCTGCTAGCCTAGGGAAAAAGGTTGGCATTGGTTCAGTCAGTTCCGGGTCAGACAGAACCAGTCATGATCTCAGCACACCATCTCCAAGCAGAGAGGTGGCAGCAGGGAATTGCTGCAGGCTGTGCCAGGACCTAGACAAGGGGCCAGTGCATGTTAGGCAGCTCTTTGAGGTGTCTGGCCTGGGAGTGGAGAATGGGAGGTGGCTGTAAGCCCTAGAGAGGCAAGCTATCAAAGAATAAAAGGCAGCAGGATACCTAGGACACTATCCCACCCATGCAGAGGCTTCCCAGAGAAGCCTGGGAAACCACCCTTCATTTACCTTGAAGACCTCTCCATAGGAGCCATGACCTAGGCGGCTAAGCCTCTGGAAGTTCTGCTGAAAGAAGGACTCTGGCCGGCTTGGGTCATACCCAGGACTCTGAAGGGTCTCTGAGGTCTCACTCAGGAATGACACCCTCCGGGGCTGGGGCTGGTGCCAGCCTGGGGTCCGAGGAGGGAAGAGACGGCTGATAGGAATGCTGCCCTTGGCAGGGGGCCGAGGTGGAAGGCTCCGGCTCAGGCCCCCAGGTCTTTTGAGGGAGAAACCAGGTTCTGCATGTCGGAAATAGGCTGGAACTGGGATGGGGGTACCACTTAGGGGCGGTGGGGTACCCTCAGTGGGCATGGACATGGCCAATACTATAGGATCAGAGCACAGAGCAATGTGTCCACTCAAACAGTGCTTGATTCTGTGGCCCACAAGAGAGCCACTTCTTTGCCACACACACGTTCTACTTTGCACATGAAGGTCGTGTGGACCACAAGTACCTGCAGAAAAGAAGAACAGCCATCACACACCTGTACACTGTGCTATCTCTAGCTTGGAGGTGACATAAATAAGAAGTCAGAACCATGAGCCTGTATCTCCAAAGGCCTCATACCCAGCAGGGGATAGTATAAGCCAGCAGCTCTGGAGGTGCCCATTCAGCCTTCTTTCTGCAGCCTCTCCCAAGGCCCTGAGACAGAAAAACCATGCCGTCTCTCATCACCAACTCCACAGTAAAAACAGCTTCTGAGTTCCAAAACTTGACTCTCTTCTAGAATACGCATATACAATGAGGAGACTTGTGACCTTTCCCCCAGAAACAGGTACAACAGATGAAAACTATACAACCATCTTAATCTTTGGATATGTTACTAAAGATAGAAAATGAAAGAGTTGAAGAAAATCTAGCAAATCTTGGTGAGAACATGGAGAAAGAGTAGAACCTGCAAGTCTCCAGTGCTGTGGGCACATGTCCAGTGAGGCTCTTGCTGCCACAGCTCCCTGTCAAAGCTAGTGTCTGCCTAGAAGAGCAGGTTCTCCGCATTCCTCATCTCCCACCCACTCCACAGTGCACAGGCTGGATTTCTGTTGAGTGACTGACTAACCAGGGTCTTTCTTCTCGCCTGTCCTACTGACAGATGAAATGGAGGTTCTACTTCAGGCCTAGCAGGCTGAGAAGCATATGGTCCAAGCTCCAGCACATTCATAGGAAGAGGCAAGCAGAAAATGCCAGAGACCGCCGTCCTGTCCCAGTACCCTGCTTTTTAGGCAGCAGGGCCAGCCAGGAGGAAGTGCACCATTGTCCACAGCACAGCTTAGAGAAATTACCCAGGGTTGAGGTAGGCTGTAAGATAGAGCCCTAAGGCTGTCCCTAAGAAATCTTGACTTTGAAACAGGGTGAAGTTCATACCTGACAATGCTGTCAAAAAAGTAAGGAGTAGGGGAGTGTATGGAGCTAGACACAGTCAGTGTCACCTAGAATCCCCGTACTTGGGAGGCAGAGGCAAGAATAAGGAGTTCAAGGCTATCCTTGGCTGCATATAGAATTCAAGGCCAACATGAGTTACATAAGACCCTTGCTCCCGCTCCCAAAAAAAAGGGACCTAAAAGATGACTCAGCGGGTAAAAGTGCTTGCCTTGCAAGTCTGACAACCTCAGTACAAGCCCCAGAATCTACATAAAGGTGGAAGAAGAGAACACTTACACAAAGTTGTCCTCTGACCACCACATATGTGCCACAGCACACTCCCCCCAACCATAATTTTTTAGTTAATGAGAATTTTATGTCTTAGTTCCTGGGGTTGGGCATGGTGGTGTATCCCTGTAATTCTAGCCTAGGGGGACTGAGGCAAGAGGTTCACAAATGTGAGGCCAGCCTGGGCCACATATTCAGATCTTGTCTCAAAATGAAGGAAGAAGGAGATAGAGTTAAGAGGATTGACTGCTCTTCCAGAGTACTTGAGTTTGATTCTCAGCACCCACATGGCTGCCTGTAACTTCACTTCCAGGGGAATCTGACACCTTCTTTTGGCATTTCCCACATATAGAACAGATATAGATTTAGATAAAACAATACATATAAAATAAATAAACCCATACACATAAATCTCAAAAAAATTATTAAAAAAAAAACTAGGAAGAAATACTTGGCTTGATGGTATATGCCTTTAACCCCAGAACTCAGGAGGCAGATCTCTGTGAGTTTGAGACCAACCTAGTCTACACAGAGAGCTAGATCCACGACAGGACAGTCATATATATACATATATATATACATATGAGTTCTACCAAAACCAAAACAATACATGTTTTGGGAGCATAAATGCCCTTGTACTCAGAAATAGCACCAAGAATGTTAAACATACAGGGTTGTCCTACCAAAGAAAAAGATGTAGAACTTCTGCTTAGAAGGTTGGTACAGGAGGTAGCTAATAGCCTAGGTGACCCCTGTGCTATCTATGCAGCCAGACCATACCTGGCTACCCCAAGCTCCCACAACCAGAACCAGAGATGGCTAACAGCCCAGATGATGACCTCTATGTATCTGTATGATGGGATGGAGACCAAATCTTCCTCTAGGCTTTGAGATAATATAAGTAGTCTATCTCTAGAACTGAGAAGAGTTCTGATCTAATTATGCTTTTTTGTACACAGGGATTGTTACAGCAGGAAACTTTTCCTCAAACTGTGCTGTACTTTACTACGCCTACAATAAACTTCCCAGTGTCAGATTCTAGAAGTTTGAACCAGTACCGGCTACTGAGTCATGGTGAACTGGATTTCCTTCTTGCCCCTCACAGATCAACCCTTTGCATGTCCTGGTGGTTGCAGAGGCCTGCTAACACAGCATATACAAATAACCAAAGGCCTAAATAAAAGGAAAAACATGTTCATGGTAACAGTCTTAAAGTTGTGGACTAGGGTATAGTTCATGGTACAGTGTTTGCCTAAAGCACTATACCTCCAGAGGCCTTCACCTCAGCCTTTGGTCTGCAGATTAGGAACAATCCCTGATAGAAACCCAGCTAGCTTCCTTATGGAAAACAACGAGCATGCCGGCAGGTAGCGAACACCTTTAATCCCGGCACTCTGGGAGGCAGAGGCAGAGGCAGAGGCAGAGGCAGGAGGATCTCGAGTCTGGAAGACAGCCTTAAAAGGGATAATTCTATAATTCATGTGGATGTTCAGACCTCCTCCCCAAAGTCAAACTATCGTATAAGACTAAATTTGAAGCAGGCGATGATGGTGCACACCTTTAATTCCAGCACTTGGGAAGCACAGGCAGGTGGACCTCTGTGAGTTCAAGGTCAGAGCCCAGCCTGGTCTACAGAGTGAGTTCCAGGACAGGCTACAAAGCAACACAGAGAAACCCTGTCTCGAAAAATCAAAAGAAGAAAAAGAAGAAGAAAAAAAAAAGATTATTGGAAGACTTACATTTCCAGATTTTCAAAATTTCTTCAAATCCACAGTAATTAAAACAGTTTGTTCACAAAAAGATGAAGGGGACAGAACTAAGGTTTCTGAATTTATGGTTTAATCATTTTTTCTTTGAAGCTGTGGTGCACACCTTTAACCCCAGCACTCATGAGGCTGAGACAGGAGGATCTCTGTGAGTTTGAAGCCAGCCTGGTCTACATAGCAAATTCCAGGACAGCCAGGGCTACATAGAATGACCTTGTCTCGATTTTTTTTTTTTTTACTTTGTCTTGTTTTGTGTTTTGCTTTTTTACTTTCCTCAAGACAGGGAATCATGATTTAGTCCAAGCTAGCTTTAAGCAGCTTCCTACCTCAGTCTCCAGAGAGCTGGAATCATTTATTTTCAAAAAGAGCATCAAGCCAGGAGGTGGTGGTGGTGCACATCTTTAATCCCAGCACTCAGGAGGCAGAGGCAGGCAGATCTCTGTGAGTTTGAGACCAGCCTGGTCTACAGAGTGAGTTCCAGGACAACCAGGGCTACATAGAGAAACCCTGTCTCAAAAAAACAAAAAAGAAAAAAGAGCACCAAACAATTCAAAAGGAAAGAAGTCTTTTCAACAAATAATAGACAACTGAGTAGATTCATGAAAAAGAAATTTCGGAAAAAAAAATTTTGACTTCATCTAATCTTACTTAGTGTGTGTATTTATAATTTCATTTTGTTTTGAGAAAAGTCTATTTAGTCCAGACTGACCTTGAACTTGTAGCAATCCTCCTGCCTCAGCCTTCCAAGTGCTGAAATTAGACATGAGTCACAACAGCTGACGTTCTCTGACAGAAATATTAGTTCTTGATCTTGGAAAAGACATCACAGTCTCACTAGTGGTCTTACACATATATGCTTTCTTACGATGCTTTTTTAAAAGTGATTATTCATTTATGGTACTAGGGATTAAACCAAAGGCCTAACACATGTTAGGCAAGCATTCTACCAGAGCTACTCCTCACATCTGTGCTTTCTAAATATGAGACCATATTAGCTTTCTAAATCTGAGATTTATTTTTGTTTGTTTTTTAAGACAGGGTCTCTAGTTTAAGCTGCCTTCAAACTTGCTGTGCAGCCAAGGATAAACGAGTTTTCCTGCCACCATCTCCAGAGTGCTAGGATCATAGACATGTACAACTACATCCAATTTAGATAGTGCTGGGTATCAACTCAGGCATCATTTATGTTAGGTAAATGCTATACCAACAGAGTTATTAATATAACCTCAGGCCCTAAATCTGGGATATTTTGAATTATGAAGAGCACCTGGCATCAGGAGTTTGTGGACTCACAATTCTGCACTACAAAAAGCTGAAGGATTTAAGACTGGTGTCTGGCATAAATGCTAACTGTTATCATAACTGGTGATTTAGATAGTAGCTGAAATGACTCACAGTGGTACCATGGGGGTCAGCAACTGTGTGTCTGTTGGGGCAGAGGGGGGCATCAGGTTGCTACAATGTTGTAATTGAAACAAAAGCAAATTAAAAGCAAAAGAAAGAGTCCATTCTAGGGGAAATCACATGTATCAAAATTTGCCACAGCTAGCTGAGGGTGGTGGCTAGATCAAATCACTTGGAGAATGGTTAGCCTAGTGAAGTAAGGGACTTAAAATTAAGAGACTTGGCTGGAAGACTCTCTTGTTAAGGCTCTATTTACTTCAAGAATCCCATCCCAGAGATGGCTAGTGGTTAGTGATAGAGTACCAGCCTAGCACAATCAGGGCCCTGTATTTGGTTTCCACCCCACAAAAAAGGGGTCTTCTTGGAGGAACCATACTGTCAGGCTCCATGATCATGCTGGTTAAATATAGTCTTGAAGGGAGGGGACGATGCCTCAGAAGCTAAGAGTTCTTGCTTCCCTTCCAGAGGACCCAGGTTTGATTCCTAGTGGCTCACAAGCATCTGTAACTCCAGTTCCGGGAATCTGACAGGCACGAACATGGTGCACAGACACACATGCAGGCAAAATACCCATACATACATACATACATACATACATACATACATATATATATAAACCAATAGAAATACTTTTTTTAGAAGAAGGAGGAGAAGAAGAAGAAGAAGAAGAAGAAGAAGAAGAAGAAGAAGAAGAAG